GCATCCAGTTTTTGTAAAATTCAATATAAAGATCATTTTTGGCTTGTTTATGTCATAATCGCACCCCCTGTTTATGTCACAATCGCACCCCCCCCCCCCCCCCCCCCGACTGAAAACCGAAATATTTTTGGCAATCGCACTCCCTCCTGACTGAAAGCTGGCTACACCCCTGATATCTGTTATTGGCCATCAATAAACTATATTTATATTGTGAGCATTTATGGGTTTTGATAACAATAGGCTTTATTCACGTATAATTAATCAAATTTCATATTGTATCATGTTGGCTAAATCGTTTCAAGTGAAGAATTAAGAACTGTAATCGGTGTTTGCTTAGTTTGAGTCAGGGAACAAAATGTAATCAGACGGACAGATTAATTAATATTTGTTTTGATAAATGAGTATTATAGGTTATAGGCAGTATCATGGGAACCAAGTAATCGTGTATAGGATTATTTTTTGTTTACTTCGGAATTGAGTGAACCATGTGTAGTTTTAAAAACAAGGATCAATAAATACATCAATCAAGATGACATATTAGAAATCTATTTTTGACTGGACAAATTCTTGTTCTCGAATGTCAAACAGAACCTTCATTATCTTTATTCATTTGGAATTTTGATTTGAATTATTTCAATCAAACGTGTGTTGATGCTCCAAGCTAATACTATTAATTGACAAATTGTTTGGCTAGACATTATGTACTTATATATCTATATGTTACATATTTATTTTGTATTCAATTCGAATTCTGTTCACTCGCACTCCTTAAACCACCCCCACCCCTTGGCTACGGGTATAAGTACTTTCGGCACACGGAGAGAATAACATTAGAATTCTGCAATGCAACTACATGTAATAAGAGAGACCTAAAATGAAAATAATGTAATGTAAAAATAAACAATTGTAGTCCATCACAAAGTTCATTTATTTCATAAAAGCGTCAAGGGACAATGCCTATAAACACTAAGATAAACAAATTAACTTCCGCAGAAACATCCTGTAGTGGAAAAAACAAATGACTTCATAATGGATTAGAATAGCCAGTCTGTCTAATTGTATAATATATTAGATACATTTTAAATTCCTTTATACTTCTTATCACAGACAGGTTGATCATTTTATTTAGACAAGAGATTGTATTCCAGTAGTGTCATTTGTAATTAGCCCTTTGAAGTTTAATCAGTCACGATAATCAGTTGGTCGGTTATTCAGTAAAGAAAAAAGTGATTATCGCAAGGCCATGCCTGTTGCCATTGTATCTAGCATTGAAAAGTTATAATTAGGTCAGGATCAGACTGTGTCTGGTTATTAATGATTATTCTAAAAAATTAATCGCTGATTATTATGTGTTAATTCCAACCTGTTTGTCTAGTGGAATATATCATACACTCACTCGAGTATAAACACGATATACAGAATGACCCATTATATAACCTCATAATATCTTGGAATGCAGGTCTTATATTCCGATATTCAAATTTTGATTTTGAAATATATTTTTCAAAAGTTAATAATTTCAATATTTTAAGGAGGCATTCCAGTCTTTCCAAACATGTTTTGGAAACTCAATCATTGAATGCCTTTTGACATCATTTGATGTCTTAGGTCATAAGGAATACATGACTTTAACATGGGCATTCAATACCTTATGTTTTTTAGTGAAGTACTATATTGTTGACTTATGAGACATAAAGAATCTCAACTGCAACATGAAAAGAAATAATGTATTAGATTATCAGTTCATCAGTATTTGTAATGTATGTAACCTGTGTAGTTGTACTTAAATGTGAAAAAAGTCCTGGCTTTTTTAAAGAAATGCTCGACAATCTTCTAAAACATTATAGAAAAAATGAATATACTTTGTGAATGAATCAAGATGTCAAACTGATGCCAATAATGAGCAATCCAATAACCATCACATGTTATTCATTCTTCTGCCATAAATGATAAAATTTCTAATGCATTTGGCTAATTTGATTTTTTAAAGATTAATCTTCATTTCGCTAAAATTTCCCGCGCTAAAACCCCCTAAAATTGAAAAATGGCTAAAATTTCTGGTGTCATAATTACCCGTTTTACAGTATCTAGAAAAAACATGGACAGTCTACTACAGCTGATGCAGAAAACACAGTTCTTACCATCCACACATGCCAGATTGGCACACAAAACAATAGCTTAAAGTGGTAGCTAAAGTTGGAGCCTGGTTAATTAGACCATCAGCTTTTATACGGACATGTATGAATAATCACTATTATTCTGACCATTCACCACATTGCACTACTGCATTAGAGCAGCAATTGAACATTTATTCTTAAATGGCCAATTACGGACAATGAAAAAAAATAACTAAAATACACATATTTGACAATGTCAAAGGTGAAAGCATACTTTGATAGGCTATTCAGCCCATCTACTCGTAAAAAATATTCTCTTTGTTTCAATTTCATTTTGAACAAAATCCACAGATAAGCTGAAAATCAAATAGCTAACATCGAACACAAGAAGATGTAATGTGATACAAGTTACACGAAAGATGATATCCATGAATCAACAAATCAAGCCAACAGAACACCATCACTTTATTAATTGATGAAAAGAAACACTGTATTGGCCAATTTAACCTCAAGCCAACCCAATGGACTAGGTGTGTTTACTAAGAATACTTTTCTTCCAAATGTGAAAGTGTGCTGTGGAGAAAAAAATGAAACTCATACACTGTCAATGTGTACATGTTTTCAAAACCAATGGGAGAGGGTACATTATAATACAGTAAATGCATCACATGTAATACAAAGTGTATGGTGAATAAAAAAAACAAAATTGAAATGGAGATGATTTACACTGTCAATGTTTACATGTTTTCAAAACCAATGGGAGAGGGAACAATTTAGTACAGTTAAAGCATCACTTGTAATACAATGTGTTTGGTGAATAAAAAACAAAATTGAAAGGGAGATTTTCTACAATGCTGTCAATTTTGATTTGGTTTATTCTGCAAAAAATCAATGTACAAGGGACTCTCTAAATACGTGAGGTACCACTATCCCCCTTATATGGCACTAGTTTGTACATTTTATAAACACAAATTATATATTAAGATGGAAATAATGAAGTCTGCCATGTGTGTTTTCCTTGCATAGTTCTTACCATCCACACGTGCCAAATTGACACACAAAGCAATAGATTAACACAGAGCTAAAGTTGAAGCCTGATGAATAAGACCATCAGCTCTTATATGGACATGTAGGAATAATCACTATTATTCTGACCATTCACCAAACTGCATTAGAGCTGCAACTGGACATTTATTCTTAAAGGACCAAAGACAAACAATGAAAAATAATAACTAGAGTACCTATATTTATTGTGATGATCCTCTCATCACTCAGTACATTGCAATGGGATTGTTAGAGGGTTGTTGCACTGTTTCCTCTGATTTCACTATCTAGTATAGTTACTCTATAATCTGTGCTGTATTTTAATCTAGCCTGTGTAAAATTCTTTAAGATCTTGCAAAGGGTTGTTTATACCGGTCAGCTTTTGCCCTCAAATCAAATTATGAGAGCCTTTTTCTAATCCTTCATTTCCTTAAACAGGATCTTAAATTGTTTTCATCATACATATAATTATATTATGTTAAAATTATAACAGTGTAACAGTATTAGTAATAGTTTATAATTTTTGTTTTTAAGCAGCTAATGTAGAGACCCACCCTGTATATAGCTATTTATAATATCATATTTAATCAGTGTGTGCCCCTTTAATATCTATAATCAGTATCTAATCACATCATGTCCCTTTAACATGATCATTTTATTTCAAGACGTAGGCCTGGACCATCGTATCAGAGCCAGTATATTTATAGAAAAAACCTATTTGTCATTGTAAAACGCTGAATTTGCAGTCTCAACTTTGCGTCACTTTTCAAAGTGACATCATTTTTTAGTATTACCTCATAATTCTTGTCCAATAAGCTGCTCTTTTTGCCCTTCTTACTACCTTACGTAGCCCTAAAAATCTTGGTAATATCACATTTTAAGTAACATTACATACATTTCTCCCTACGTCATCCCAAAGATTACGTATGTCCATTTGTCACTATATAAACAAGTGTATTTTGCGGATTCCATGTAACAATTCCTGCACAGCTGAACTCGAGATCTCCTATCTTCTGCTAAACGCACTCAGCGCTCGCTAGACGTTACTTTCAGCTAAAAAGAAAACGCTCTGAAGTCATCCATGGATGCAGTTTTGGACACGCGTAGGGGTGTCGACGTTTGGGTAAGTTAACTACAGTACTGTATAGAAATCTATAAGCACTTATTAGAGAAGTGGAGAGATTTAAGACAGTAATTGAATCGTAATTGAACTTTGAGGAAACATTTTGAAACTTTCATTTTTCCCGCACATATTTTCTAACGGTGTTATCTGCAGTCTGTAAGAGTTGAACGAGATTGGGAGTTTGTCTCAATAATCCCATATGCTGGGAAAGGTTCAAGATAGTACAGAATAGAGATTCACGTTATCAATCAAAGGGAATTATTGATCAAAATAAAATCATAACTTTGGGAAAAGCAGACGACTTAGTCACGTGATCACCTACGTCACTTTTGAAGTCTAGATTCTTTCATTGAAACTTGAACATCTTAGTGGATTATTGTATCCTAGACGGCTTTTAACTTGAACTTGATCATAATTGATGATAAGAAGAACCGATGGAGGATGCAACAATTGTAAAATCTGTGGTGGAAGCTCAAGAAGAACCAATGGAGGTCGAAGAAAGTAGTGCAAAGAGGAAGAGAGAAGAGAATAATGAGGGAAAGAGGTAACAACATCGTGTTAATCTGCAAGTCACTATTATAATTCACTTTAAACATTTTTAAAATTCAAACACAATTGAATGCGCCTGTGTGTCCCGCTGTGTGTATTACCAGTCTACTTTATCACTAGCTGATACATGAAACGTTGTATAGATGTTGTGTTATTCGAACAATTCATTAAATACCATTTACAAATATAAATTAAATTAAAAGCTTGACATTAATGCTAAATTTTTTGATTTATTTATATATTTTCAGAAAGAAACCAAGAATGTTGTCCAGGTTGGAGTGAGTCCAAGAACTGTCAAATTACATGTAAATTGTTCAAGGGAATAAATCCAAGAAGAGTATACACTTGGCGTTGTTGTTGTTTATAATTGATATTTACTGATTGTTATAATTTAATACTTAAATTACAGTTAATTCAGTGTAGTGTGATCAAGTGTATATAACAAGAGTTAAACTTTTGCCCTTGTTTCATTCACCGTCAGTCAGCTTACCAAAATGCAACATGGATAATGATCAGGAATGTGATTTACGTAATCTGAAATATACAACAAATTTAAAACTTAAAACACACAAATATAGAGTTCATAGAATAGAAAAGTTATTTCAATGTAAAGTTAGCGCTAAATTTTATAACATAAGAAACAGTTTAATCGCTCATACATTATCATCTCACGCAAAAAAGGTTCACAAATGCAGAATATGTGACAAAACCTTCAAAAGAAATCATAACATAACTGTGCATATAAAAACTGTACATGGTAAGTAAATTACTTTCAATAAATTACTTTCAATGATATAATTCTCTGATAAGAGATCGAAGAAATTGTTCAGTGCAAAGTTTGCGCTAAATTTTACAATATCAAAATAGTTTGATGTTTGATATCAACACACGCCGATAAGGGAGCATTCCAAAAGATCAATGTCAGATAATTAACTGTATTTGAATAGTTAGGGGTGGAGAGGGGGTCGCTAACCTTAAAAGTAAGCTTTCATGACTTTGAATATTTATAAAAATTAACTGAGTTGTACATATAGTGTAACCGTCGAAAAACGCATATCACATTTATGAGGTAAAGAGGGGAAGGGTTACACATTAACTATTCAAATACAGTTAATTATCTGACATTGAACTCCTGAGATGCTCCCAAGATTTAAAAATAGTAAAATATGAGAAAAAACACACTATGAATGTGCGCATGCAAACTGATCAACACACAAACAACTAATACATTTGTCATATTTGATTTTTTGAAGGAAAACTTAAAGGGAAAAGGTTGAGTGGAATAAGTGGTAAGTACTAATCAAATTGTGGAACAGGCTATTGAATTTGTTTATTTGGTCCGACACTGTCTAATTAATATAAGTTTGGAAATGTTGATTATAAAAGCCAATGATTGGTAATCAGATACATAAAACCATATCAAATTATTTTTAAGAGGGAAAAGATGAGAAAAAGACAAAACAATCATCATCATCACAAGAAAATAGTAAGATCAATTCATTTTTAAAGTGACAGTATGTCACAATTAATGTTTAAAGTTTAACATTGGAATTTTAAGAACCAATTAAATAACAAACAAATTAAATTTAATGCAATTAAAAGTTTTGTGAAGTGAGTGTGAGGGGGGTGACGTGTTATTGTCGTCGGACACCAGTCATTAATTCTGACCAATCGTGTGACTTCTAGGTTTTAAACGTCAGTTATCTGATACCATCTGGTATACCATCTTCATTCGTTACATTTATTTGTGAATACAAACAGCATCGAAGATATTCTTCTTGCAGGACATTACATTATATTTGTATTCTCTATACGATATTTATTAAACTTTTTATTACACATTTAAATTTCAAGTCCGTCCTGCAGATAAAAGGAGATATACGTTAAAATAAAGGAGTGGAATAAGATCCAGAATAACATTGAAGCAGATTGTTGTCCTTTATCGAGGAATATTATTTGCGGTGAGTACATTATCATTACTCCTGCACATATCCATATTATTTACATTTTCTTACGCGAGCTGCAGATAATGGAAATGAAAAAAGTACTGATTTTTGGACATTCGCTGGTCCATTGGCAAGGGAAAAAATATCCTTCAAATTTGAAATTGAATACAAGTGAATTCAGTGTACAATTTCGTGGAGTGCGTGGGGGTAGTCTTTTCTGGAAGCCGTCTGACAATAAACGTTTTCCAGAACACTACAGCTTCATAAACAATTCATGTATCTAATTACTAAGTCATATTTTATTCATTTATTGTTTTACTAATCATAAATGCATATTCTTTTTAATCTTATTACGACAACAGTACATTTGTTTTGAAGGTAATAATCCATCAATGAAGGAAATTGAAAGTACGGTGAATTCCTTCGATCTAGATAAAGATGGTTAGTCAGTTAACTTATAGCCTGATATTTGATCAAACATAAAGTTTTATTGATATTGAAGAAATGTAAACTCTTACCAAAATCAGCTTCAAGTTGTAGTGATAAAAAAGTAACGTTACTCTAAATATATTATAATAATGTGTAATAATATAGATTAATATTTATAAATCTAATCTATCGTTATTTTTGATTCAGATGATGTTCAAGCAGTAGCAGCAGCGGGATGTAGTGATAGAATTGATCAGGAATTTCATAACCTATTGAATGACTTGCCGGGTATTTAAAAACTGGACATTTTATGGACAAGTGATTCTTAATGTAACCAGAGTCATTAAAATATAGTTATTCAACAACAGCATAGAGTCTACCAAATAGTCTTTAAAATGTTCCTTATCATTTCCTCCGTGGGTGTTGATGGGGTTATATCATCATCATCCCAATTTTTAGATGTCACATTCTCAATCAACTGATGATATTTGTCCCCCACTATTGTCATATTGAAAAAAGCAGCCAACCGAAAGGCGACACGTTCAATTTCAATATTGATAACTGCGCCTACATTGATATAGGATCCATCATCCATGCAGTCATGTTCCAGAAGATTGGGTGGGTTGATCCCGGCGACGCAATATCTACACGTTGGTTTACGGGATTTCTCACAAGCTAGTAGAAACCAATACGCGTACTTGACCATTTCTTCCTCTTGTAAAGGGATGAAACTATGATCCTCTATCATCATGGATGAACCATCGGAGCCCATAGCTAGTTTTAAATCGATACTAGCTATGGCTTTATCGAAAGCCGTCGTCCATTCACCGTACTCTATTGTACCATCTTCATTAGTCGTGCAAAGTCTGAAACATTTTATCTTCCCGTCATCATTTTCTGAAGAACGTTTCATACTTAGGTGTTGATCGATTTCGGGAATGTAACCAATCAATTTCTTCCATTCATCAAAGCCGATCTCGAGCAGCTTGAATTCGTCAACTTTTCTATTTTTGTCCAGGAAAATCAAGTGGACGAAATCAGGATTAATCGATAGAAGATTGTTCTTAGCCAAAACGATCGTTTTTGAATACGTTTTTGTCTCCATCCATCCATCTATTGTATCAACTGCGGATTTCAGTTTTCTGTAGAGGTTCCTACTCATGAAATAATGCGTAGCAAAGTTCTTTTGTAGCTTGTAAGAAAACCCGTTCCTAGTGAAATCGCCATAGATTCCACCCAAACTATACGAGCATACGTTAAATTGTAGATTTGCGTCTAAAACCCAATTTGGTAAAATTGTTGGGCTTGAGTTGCTAGTGCTCGCTTCCGTCGACATCTTAATCAACTGCGGATTTCAGTTTTCTGTAGAGGTTCCTACTCATGAAATAATGCGTAGCAAAGTTCTTTTGTAGCTTGTAAGAAAACCCGTTCCTAGTGAAATCGCCATAGATTCCACGCAAACAATACGAGCATACGTTAAATTGTAGATTTGCGTCTAAAACCCAACTTTGTAAAATTGTTGAGCTTGAGTTGCTAGTGCTCGCTTCCGTCGACATCTTAGTAGAGTTCAAGATATTGTGAAGAAAACATTGAAACAGTGGATTTATATAGTTTGAGAAAATGACTGATAAGAATGGTCGAATGACTATGAAAATGACAGATTCAATGAAAAGATGACTGAAAGTATGTAACAATGATTGAACTCAAAACTACATTTATCAGAGAATGACCGAATCCTCGAATTGTGAAGTAGAATAACGATATCAGATGAGGATATCATATGTATGTATGTATATCAGTTGTCATATGATGACTGATGTGCCACAAGCCCAGGAATAATTATATAGATATGTATATATCGGATGTTATATGACGACTGATGTGCCACCAACCAGGGGTTATGTAGGGGTTATGTAGAGTTTAAGTAGGAGTTTAATTAATTAATGAGTGAGCCATAGGCCCACGGGGTCGTTAAGACATCTTTCCACTACTGATACAAGAGGATCTCGAAAGGATAATTAACATGTGTTCAAGCACGTGCACGTGGTAATCTTTGCGACTGGTCGAACGGACATCACAGACTGCGATTTGTTAATGAATAGGTCGCAGTTGCAGTCACTGCGACGTCGCAGTTGCAGTCACTGCGACGTCGCAGTTGCAGTCACTGCGACGTCGCACAGTGGTCGCAGTGTCTGCGAGGTCACACAGTGGTCGCAGTGTCTGCGAGGTCACAGTGATTGCGATAGCTTGATGAATGACCCCGCAGAGTGTTTCAAAAACTTATTCCCACAATGCTTTGAAAAGGCATATAGAGCAACATCGTGAAATACCATCAAAATTTTCAAAAGTGAGTGCAGAAGTTAGCAAACACGTACAATATCCCAATCAAATCAAACATGACAAAAACAAAAGTGAAAGATTTGTTGACTTCAGAAATACCAGTAATACAAGGCATGTCTTGTGTCAGTGCTGGAGTTCCAGTTGCGGGCACAAGCAAGTCAAATCCAGGGAGGAAAAAAGTAAAATATCCATGTAAGGAATGTAAACTATCAGTCACTAATGACCAAGAGGGCATACAATGTGACAGGTGTAATCAATGGTTACATAAAAAATGTTGCCAAATTGATAATGAAGATGAGTGGGAAGATATATGCAAATCAGACAGTGATTATATATGCCATTATTGCTAAAACATTAGAAAATTTTTGGGACGATGTTCAATTATCAAAAATTGTTGAAAAAAAGATATGGTCTAACCACATCCCTCCCTTATGAAGAAACTTGAGAAATGTTGATTTGCTGTTTATTTGATTACTTTACATATTCCATAGAGTTGTTCCAGAATAAAATACTGTCAAGTATCCAACATACAATGTTTAATGTACTAAGTTAATGGAAACATTATTTGATTAATAATTATGGCTGATTAATTAAAATTCAGCTCTTAACACTTGATACTTTAAAGGGAAATGTTGAAAAACAGGAAAATATTCTCTTTTGGTCTGAACTGTGACTGTGACTGCCATATTTGGCTGTTGTGGGCTGTTCCATCTTCCTTTTATATCCAGTCTCAGTCTTAGAAGCGACCCATAATTATCCTACTTGTTTTCAAAATGTATCTCTTCAAACCTGTACAGAACTTTACTGAAACAAAAAATATTATAAAACAGAGGAATAAATATAAATGGTGCATATCTGGAAAAAACATGGACAGTCTACTACAGCTTATGCAGAAACTCAGTTCTTACCATCCACACATGCCAGATTGACACACAAAACAATAGCTTAAAGTGGTAGCTAAAGTTGAAACCTGGTGAATTAGAGCATCAGCTCTTATACGGACATGTATGCATAATCACAATTACTCTGACCGTTCTCCACATTGCACTACTGCATTAGAGCGGGAATTGAACATTTATTCTTAAATGGCCAATTACGAACAATGAAAAACAGTAACTAGAATACACATATTTGACAATGTCAAAGGTGAAACCATATTTTGATAGGCTATGCAGCCCATTTACTTATTTATTTATTTTCTCTTTGTTTCAATTTGAACAAAATCCACAGATGAAAATCAAATAGCTGACATATCGGGTACTCCTTCATAATGCCATAAAAAAAGTCAGCTTTAGGGATTTGCATATACTTCAACATTAGATTTTGTAAAAAAAAGTCTTGACTTTTTTAAAGAAATGCTTGACAATCTTCTAAAACACTATAAAAATGAATATACTTTGTGAATGAATCAAGATGTCAAACTGATGTCAATAATGAGCAATCCAATAACCATCACATCAGCGAGGGCAGACACACTTCTTTATGATGCAATAAAAAGTCTGCTTTATACAGACAGCCCTGCTGCTGAGGGACTCAACACCTCATATATTGAAAGTTTTAACAATGCTTTGAATATCTTTCAAAACAAGAAACTGTTTGCTTTGAAACTACTCTTTACAAAATGCGAAAGAATCTGGCTATTCTCTATTGGAATGAGAATGTAGATCGGGAATATACCAGCATCTACCAACCTCAACAATATCCCAACCAACCTATCTGTCATAGTAAGAAAGTCTACAAACCTGTAACATTTAATTTTGGAACAACTCTATGGAATAAGTAAATGGAAACATTATTTGATTTATTGTGGCTGATTTATTATGGCTGATTAATTAAATTGACCTCTTAACTCTTGATAGTTTAAAAGGAAGGTTGAAAAACAGGAAAATATTCTCTTTTGGTCTGAATAGTGACTTAAACTGCCATATTTGGCTGTTGTGGGCTGTTCCATCTTCCTTTTATATCCAGTCTCAGTCTTTAAAGGGACTTGGAAGTTATCTTACTTGTTTTCAAAATGTAACTCTTCAAACCTGTACAGAACTTTACTGAAACAAAAAGTATTATGTACAGAGAAATAACTATGAATGGTGCATATTGTAAAACTGGTATTGTTAGCGATGGGTAATTGTTAGAGAGGGGTAATTGTAAGCGATCGCTATAGTTTCGCTAAAATGAATCAGGGTTAAAAAAATTAACCAGGCGCTAAAATTTGCAAATTCCCGGGAAACTACATGAATACTAGTATTTAGGGAGCTTTTCGTTCAGTGCTCGACTTCCGGTTTGTAATTTGAAAAAGGTAAATATTTTAAAATCGTATGTTTCTTTCAATATCTGAAGGATAAATAGCCATCCATCAGTGAAATTGTATTAGTAGTAAATATAAAGATAAAAGGTGTTAATTGAACACGGTTCAACAACCAATGATATTGCTTAAATTCTCCCGTACCATAAGTGAGCAAAGGATCACTCTTAAAATCAAAGTCTATAGAATCACAGTGAATGTTCTAAACAATTGCAAAATCATGATGTGTTTTTTAGTGGGATGTCTCTCATACATTGGATTCGAAATGGTAAGTTGTCAACCCCTTCTCCCTCTTCTCTTTCTGAAAAGGCTCAAAGAAGAGCTGATAACTTGGTGCAGTCTGCCTTGGATGCTAGAAACCAAAGGGAACCATACACAAAATATTCCCCCAATACTAGGGCAAAAATAGCTAAATTTGCTATCCAAAATGGAAATAGTAGAGCAGTAGTGAAGTATAATATACCTGAAAGTACTGTAAGGAACTTTAAAAAAAATACAATGACTTGGATAAGGAGTCAAGCCTCACTGTAACATCGATTCCAGAACTGGAAAGGCCCCCCCCCCCCTATTTCACTGTGATTTCACTGTGATTTTGTGATTAGTCAGATGAGATTACAGTAGTTTGGACCAATACCATGTGCGTTAGAAGTCTTACATTTTGATAATTCCTCTGTCATGTTCGTTATTCATTCTTCTGCCATAAATGATAACATTTCTAATGCATTTGGCTAATTTGATTTTTTAAAGATTAATCTTCATTTCGCTAAAATTTCCCGCGCTAAAACCCCCTAAAATGGCTAAAGTTTCCCGGTGTCAAAATTACCCATTTTACAGTATCTAGAAAAAACATGGACAGTCTACTACAGCTGATGCAGAAATCACAGTTCTTACCATCCACACATGCCAGGTTGGCACACAAAACAATAGCTTAAAGTGGTAGCTAAAGTTAAAGCCTGGTTAATTAGACCATCAGCTCTTATACGGACATGTATGAATAATCACTATTATTCTGACCATGCACTACTGCATTAGAGCAGCAATTGAACATTTATTCTTAAATGGCCAATTACGGACAATGAAAAAGAATAACTAAAATACACATATTTGACAATATCAAAGGTGAAGCATACTTTGATAGGCTATTCAGCCTATCTACTCGTAAAAAACATTCTCTTTGTTTCAATTTCATTTTGAACAAAATCCACAGATAAGCTGAAAATCAAATAGCTAACATCGGACACATCTTAAGAAGATGTAATGTGATACAAGTTACACGAAAGATGATATCCATGAATCAACAAATCAAGCCAACAGAACACCATCCCTTAATTAATTGATGAAAAGAAACTCTGTATTGGCCAATTTAACCTCAAGCCAACTCAATGGACTAGGTGTGTTTACTAAGAATACTTTTCTTCCAAATGTGAAAGTGCGCTGTGGAGAAAAAATGAAACACATACACTGTCAATGTTTACATATTTTCAAAACCAATTGGAGAGGGTACATTATAATACAGTAAATGTATCATATGTAATACAAGTGTATGGTGAAAAAAAAAAATTGAAATTGAGATGATTTACACTGTCAATGTTTACATGTTTACAAAACTAATGGGAGAGGGTATAATTTAGTACAGAAAAGCATCACTTGTAATACAAAGTGTTTGGTGAATAAAAAACAAAATTGAAATGGAGATTTTCTACAATGCTGTAATTTTTTGATTTGGTTTATTCTGCAAAAAATCAACGTACACGAGACTCTCTAAATCCGTAAGGTACCACTATCCCCTTTATATGGCACTACTTTGTACATTTTATAAACACAAATTATATTTTAAGATGAAAATAATGAAGGCTGCCATGTGTGTTTTCCTTGCATAGTTCTTAATTACCATCCACACGTGCCAGATTGACACACAAAGCAATAGATTAACACAGAGCTAGAGTTGAAGCCTGATGAATAAGACCATGAGCTCTTATACGGACATGTAGGAATAATCACTATTTTTCTGAACATTCACCACACTGCACTACTGCATTAGAGCTGCAATTGGACATTTATTCTTAAAGGACCAAAGACGAACAATGAAAAATAATAACTAGAGTACACATATTTATTGTGATGATCCTCTCATCACTTAGTACATTGCAATGGGATTGTTAGAGGGTTGTTGCACTGTTTCCTCTGATTTCACTATTTAGTATAGTTACTCTATATTCTGTGCTGTATTTTATTCTAGCCTGTGTAAAATTCTTTAAGATCTTGCAAAGGGTTGTTTATACCGGTCAGCTTTTGCCCTCAAATCAAATTATGAGAGCCTTTTTCTAATCCTTCATCTCCTTAAACAGGATCTTAAATTGTTTTCATCATACATATAATTATATTATGTTAAAATTATAACAGTGTAACAGTATAAGTAATAGTTTATAATTTTTGTTTTTAAGCAGCTAATGTAGAGACCCACCCTGTATATAGCTATTTATAATATCATATTTAATCAGTGTGTGCCCCTTTAATATCTATAATCAGTATCTAATCACATCATGATCATTTCACATGATCATTTCATTTCAAGACGTAGGCCTGGACCATCGTATCAGAGCCAGTATATTTATAGAAAAAACCTATTTATCATTGTAAAACGCTGAATTTGCAGTCTCAACTTTGCGTCACTTTTCAAAGTGACATCATTTTTTAGTCCCTACCTCATAATTCTTGTCCAATAAGCTGCTCTTTTAGCCCTTCTTACTACCTTACGTAGCCCTAAAAATCTTAGTAATATCCCATTTTTAGTAACATAACATATATTTCTCCCTACGTCGTCCCCAAGATTACGTATGTCCATTTGTCATTATATAAACAAGTGTATTTTGCGGATACCATGTAACAATTCCTGCACAGCTGAACTCGAGATCTCCTATCATCTGCTAAACGCACTCAGCGCTCGCTAGACGTAACTTTCAGCTAAAAAGAAAACGCTCTGAAGTCATCCATGGATGTAGTTTTGGACACACTTAGGGGTGTCGACGTCTGGGTAAGTTAACTACAGTACTGTATAGAAATCTATAAGCACTTATTAGAGAAGTGGAGAGATTTAAGACAGTAATTGAATCGTAATTGAACTTTGAGGAAACATTTTGAAACTTTCATTTTTCCCGCACATATTTTCTAACGGTGTTATCTGCAGTCTGTAAGAGTTGAACAAGATTGTCTCAATAAGCCCATATGCTGGGAAAGGTTCAAGATAGTACAGAATAGAGATTCACGTTATCAATCAAAGGGAATTATTGATCAAAATAAAATCATAACTTTGGGAAAATCATAACTTTGGGAAAAGCAGACGACTTAGTCACGTGATCACCTACGTAACTTTTGAAGTCTAGATTCTTTCATTGAAACTTGAACATCTTAGTGGATTATTGTATCCTTCTAACTTGAACTTGAACTTGATTATAATTGATTATAAGAACCGATGGAGGATGCAACAACTGTTAAATCTGTGGTGGAAGCTCAAGAAGAACCAATGGAGGTCGAAGAAAGTAGTGCAAAGAGGAAGAGAAGAGAATAATGAGGGAAAGAGGTAACAAAGTTGTGTTAATCAGCAAGTCACTATTATAATTCACTTTAAACATTTTAAAAATTCAAACACAATTGAATGCGCCTGTGTGTCCCGCTGTGTGTATTACCAGTCTACTTTATCACTAGCTGATACATAAAATGTTGTATAGATGTTGTGTTATTCGAACAATTCATTAAAGTCCCCGTCTAAAGTTTGAAAATATTTTTTTTTCATTCATTTACTATTTGTCAGGTCTTAAAAAGTGATTTTAGAGATTTTTGAACAAAAAAAGAATTTTGAAAAAAAGTTGTGAGCATTTCATTTCTCAGATATTCAAATTTCCCGCCATTTTTCAAAAAAAGTTGAAATTTCTTAATCATCAAATATTTCTTAATGCATTTCAAAAAAGATTATCTTTTTAACACCAATGCAAAGGTTGAACAAAGGACACACTATTTCAATAATAAAATGCCATATTTAATGGGCCACTTCAATGTTTTAGCATATCAAAAATATTTTGAAACATTAGTGATGTCACTAAGGTACCAAAAACTTTTTGAAAAAAATTGAAATTTTTTTTCGATGTCAATCTTTTCTAAATATGTTAGACTTTCATAAAAATCCAATGTTGATTGTCTAACCAGGTTAAAAGGAAGAATAATTTATGTTTTAGATATAATTGTACCATGGTTTCTATGAGAACTAAAATTTTGAAATGCATTTTCTCAGAACCATTTTCATGCACTGATAAGTTCATTTCTCGCTTATTTATGAACCGATTTTCTTAATTTTTTCGGCAAAAAAAACGGGAGGATAAATGCTAAGCATTGGTATGAATTGTGGCTAATTAGAAGATATGAGTGACCTCTAAAAGTTGGCTTTAAATAAATTCACAAATTTTGGAACAAAAGGTCTATCAAAAACCACTTTTTGAAATTAAAAAAAAAGGTTTCACATATCACACTTTGATAACATTGGGTATGACTACAATATAAGCCAAAGTGGTTTAAACTTTATATGGGGCCTTTAAATATCATTTACAAATATAAATAAATTAAATTAAAAGCTTGACGTTAATGCAAAATTTTTTGATTTATTTATATATTTTCAGAAAGAAACCAAGAATGTTGGAGGTTGGAGTGAGTCCAAGAACTGTCAAATTACAAATTGTTCAAGGGAATAAATCCAAGAAGAGTATATACACTTGGCGTTGTTGTTGTTGTTGTTTATAATTGATATTTACAGATTGTTATAATTAAATACTTAAATTACAGTTAATTCAGTGTAGTGTGATCAAGTGTATATAACAAGAGTTAAACTTTTGCCCTTGTTTCATTCACCGTCAGTCAGCTTACCAAAATGCAACATGGATAATGATCAGGAATGTGATTTATGTAATCTGAAATATACAACAAATTTAAAACTTAAAACACACAAATATAGTTCATAGAATAGAAAAGTTATTTCAATGTAAAGTTTGCGCTAAATTTTATAACATAAGAAACAGTTTAATCGCTCATACATTATCATCTCACGCAAAAAAGGTTCACAAATGCAGAATATGTGACAAAACCTTCAAAAGAAATCATAACATAACTGTGCATATGCAAACTGTACATGGTAAGTAAATTACTTTCAATGATATAATTCTCTGGTTAGAGATCGAAGAAATTGTTCAGTGCAAAGTTTGCGCTAAATTTTACAATATCAAAATAGTTTGATGTTTGATATCAACACGCGCCGATAAGGGAGCATTCAGAAAGATCAATGTCAGATAATTAACTGTATTTGAATAGTTAGGGGTGGAGAAGGGGTCGTTAACCTTAAAAGTAAGCTTTCCGACTTTGAATATTTATAAAAATTAACTGAGTTGTACATATAGTGTAACTGTCGAAAAACGCATATCACATTTATGAGGTTAAGAGGGGAAGGGTTACACATTAACTATTCAAATACAGTTAATTATCTGACATTGAACTCTTGAGATGCTCCTAAGATTTAAAAATAGTAAAATATGAGAAAAAACACACTATGAATGTGCGCATGCAAACTGATCAACACACAAACAACAAATACATTTGTCATATTTGATTTTTGGAAGGAAAACTTAAAGGGAAAAGGTCGAGTGGAATAAGTGGTAAGTACTAATCAAATTGTGGAATAAGCTATTGAATTTGTTTATTTGGTATAAGTTTGGAAATGTTGATTATAAAATCCAATGATTGGTAATCAGATACATAAAACCATATCAAATTATTTTTAAGAGGGAAAAGATGAGAAAAAGACAAAACAATCATCATCATCATTACAAGAAAATAGTAAGATCAATTCATTTTTAAAGTGACAGTATGTCACAATTAATGTTTAAAGTTTAACATTGGAATTTTAAGAACCAATTAAATAACAAACAAAAAATTCATGTATCTAATTACTAAGTCATATTTTATTTATTTATTGTTTTACTAATCATAAATGCATATTCTTTTTAATCTTATTACAACAACAGTACATTTGTTTTGAAGGTACTAATCCATCAATGAAGGAAATTGAAAGTACGGTGATTTCCTTCGATCTAGTTAAAGATGGTTAGTCAGTTAACTAATAGCCTGATATTTGATCAAACATAAAGTTTAATTGATATTGAAGAAATGTAAACTCTTACCAAAATCAGCTTCAAGTTGTAGTGATAAAAAGTAACGTTACTCTAAATATATTATAATAATGTAGATTAATATTTATAAATCTAATCTATCGTTATTTTTGATTCAGATGATGTTCAAGCAGTAGCAGCAGCGGGATGTAGTGATAGAATTGATCAGGAATTTTCATAACCTATTGAATGACTTGCCGGGTATTTAAAAACTGGACATTTTATGGACAAGTGATTCTTAATGTAACCAGAGTCATTAAAATATAGTTATTCAACAACAGCAAAGAGTCTACCAAATAGTCTTTAAAATGTTCCTTATCATTTCCTCCGTGGGTGTTGATGGGGTTATATCATCATCATCCCGATTTTTAGATGTCACGTTCTCAATCAACTGATGATATTTGTCCTCCACTATTGTCATATTGAAAAAAGCAGCCAACCGAAAGGCGACACGTTCAATTTCAATATTGATAACTGCGCCTTCATCGATATAGGATCCATCATCCATGCAGTCATGTTCCAGAAGATTGGGTGGGTGGATCCCGGCGACACAATATCTACACGTTGGTTTACGGGATTTCTCACGAGCTAGTAGAAACCAATACGCATACTTGACGATTTCTTCCTCTTGTAAAGGGATGAAACTATGATCCTCTATCATCATGGATGAACCATCGGAGCCCATAGCTAGTTTTAAATCGATACTAGCTATGGCTTTGTTGAAAGCCGTCGTCCATTCACCGTACTCTATTGTACCATCCTCATAGTCGTGCAAAGTCTGAAACATTTTATCTTCCCGTCATCATTTTCTGAAGAACGTTTCATACTTAGGTGTTGATCGATTTCGGGAATGTAACCAATCAATTTCTTCCATTCATCAAAGCCGATCTCGAGCAGCTTGAATTCATCAACTTTTCTATTTTTGTCCAGGAAAATCAAGTGGACGAAATCAGGATTAATCGATAGGAGATTGTTCTTAGCCAAAACGATCGTTTTTGAATACGTTTTTGTCTCCATCCATCCATCTATTGTATCAACTGCTGATTTCAGTTTTCTGTAGAGGTTCCTACTCACGAAATAATGCGTAGCAAAGTTCTTTTGTAGCTTGTAAGAAAACCCGTTCCTAGTGAAATCGCCATAGATTCCACCCAAACTATACGAGCATACGTTAAATTGTAGATTTGCGTCTAAAACCTAACTTTGTAAAATTGTTGAGCTTGAGTTGCTAGTGTTTAATTAATCTTTGCGACTGGTCGAACGGACATAACAGACTGCGATTTGTTAATGAATAGGTCGCAGTTGCAGTCACTGCGACGTCGTACGGTGGTCGCAGTGTCTGCGAGGTCACAGTGATTGCGATAGCTTGATGAATGACCCCGCAGAGTGTTTCAAAAACTTATTTCCACAATGCTTTGAAAAGGCATATAGAGCAACATCGTGAAATACCATCAAAATTTTCAAAAGTGGAAGTGCAGAAGTTGGCAAACATGTACAATATCCCAATCAAATCAAACATGACAAAAACAAAAGTGAAAGATTTGTTGACTTCAGAAATACCAGTAAGACAAGGCATGTCTTGTGTCTGTGCTGGAGTTCCAGTTGCGGGCACAAGCAAGTCAAATCCAGGGAGGAAAAAAGTAAAATATCCATGTAAGGAATGTAAACTATAAGTCACTAATGACCAAGAGGGCATACAATGTGACAGGTGTAATCAATGGTTACATAAAGAATGTTGCCAAATTGATAATGAAGATGAGTGGGAAGATATATGCAAATCAGACAGTGATTATATATGCCATTATTGCTTAAACATTAGAAAATTTTGGGATGATGTTCAATTATAAAAAAATTGTTGAAAAAAAGATATGGTCTAACCACATCCCTCCCTTATGAAGAAACTTGAGAAGTGTTGATTTGCTGTTTATTTGATTACTTTACATAGTACAATAAACATTAAATGTTGGATTCTTGACAGTATTTTATTTTGGAAAAACTCTATGGAATAAGTTAATGGAAACATTATTTGATTAACTAGATAACGGCAACTCCGCGGAGTAGCAAATCCCAACGAACAAAATATCAATTACCGAATTCCAATCAATTATACTCATTACTTTGGTTGAAAATGAAAAAATTAGATTTTAGAATTGCAAATTCCTGCAAAGCAGCCATTTTGAATTTTCTGAGGTACAAATCTGAAAAATAACACCATAATTGTGATCTACTCCAAAATTCCTTCAATTTGAGTATAATATAGCCATACTTTGAAGGGATCGAAAAATTATTGCGAAATCGTACATTAGACGGCCATTTTGAATTTTACGAGGCTCGAATCAGAAAAAAGATACAATATTTGCAATCTACTCTTAATTGCCTTTCATTTGAGTATAATAAAGCTATACTTCAGAAAGATCTAAAAATAAGCGAAAATTTCTGTTTTCCTGCCCCCCCCCCCATACATGGCCCCTGGGGGTCAGGATGAAAAACACGGAATATATGTAAAATAGATAAATGTTGTGAATACACTTCCAAAATTTCAAACAATAATATTAATTACTTTGGTTTAGAATGAAAAATTTATGATTTTTTTTGCGTAAAACTATTCACCAATATACATCTTTCCACTAAATATGAAGAAAATCTGTCAACTAGTATTTGAGTTATCTTCCAGACAGACAGACGGACGGACCGACTGACTGACTGACGGACAGATGGACGGAGGGCTTCACTATATCCCTAACGAACTATGTTCGTTGGGATAATTATGGCTGATCAATTAAAATTCAGCTCTTAACTCTTGATAGTTTAAAAGGAAGGTTGAAAAACAGGAAAATATTCTCTTTTGGTCTGAACTGTGACTTTTAAACTGCAATATTTGGCTGTTGTGGGCTGTTCCATCTTCCTTTAATATCCAGTCTCAGTCTTTAAGCGACCTAGAAATTATCTTACTTGTTTTCAAAATGTAACTCTTCAAACCTGTACAGAACTTTACTGAAACAAAACGTATTATAAAACGAGGAATAACTATGAATGGTGCATATCTGGAAAAAACATGGACAGTCTACTACAGCTTATGCAGAAAACACAGTTCTATACCATCCACACGTGCCAGATTGACACACAAAACAATAGATTCAAGTGGCAGCTAAAGTTGAAGCCTGGTGAATTAGACCATCAGCTCTTATACAGACATGTATGAATAATCACTATTATTTTGACGATTCACCACATTGCACTACTGCATTAGAGCTGCAATTGAACATTTATTCTTAAATGGACAATTACAAACAATGAAAAGGGATAACTAGAATACACATATTTGACAATGTCAAAGGTGAAACCATATTTTGATAGGCTATGCAGCATATTTACTTATTTATTTTCTGTTTTAATTTCATTTTGAACAAAATCCACAGATAACCTGAAAATCAAATAGCTGACACATCAGACATGTCTTAAAGAAAATGAACTGCGATACAAGTTACACAGAAAATGATATCGATGAATCAACGAATCAAGTCAGCAGAACACCATCCCTTAATTAATTGATGAAAAGAAACTCTGTATTGGCCAATTTAACCTCAAGCCAACCCAATGGACTAGGTGTGTTTACTAAGAATACTTTTCTTCCAAATGTGAAAGTGTGCTGTGGAGAAAAAATGAAACTCATACACTAACACTGTCAATCTTTACATGTTTTCATAACCAATGGGAGAGGGTACATTACTATTCAGTAAATGCATCACATGTAATACAAAGTGTATGGTGAATAAAAAAACAAAATTGAAATGCAGATGATTTCTACATTGTTGTCATTTTTTGATTGGTTAATTCTGAAAAAAATCAAAGTACAAGTGACTCTCTAAATCCGTAAGGTACCACTATCCCCCTTATATGGCACTACAGAATGTATGAAAATTTTCAAGAAAAAGGTGTCCATATAGGAATATATTCCCATGATAACAATGGTGCCATCAATAAAAGTAATTTAAGGAATCTGCAAGTGGACCTTAAATGGATTTATACCGACTGGCCGGATATCCAATCATGTACTGGCTTTCACTTTCAGTTATACACGTGTGTCTCGAGTTACATCTTGGGTCTATCTACTACTTCCTAGCTAGACAGCATCCTTCATTCAGTTTCATGTTTCGAAACAGACAACATAAATAAGCATTGATTTGTTAAAAAATTATTGTTTCAACTTTACAAGCTATTCAGCATTGTTATATTAAGAAAATATTATATAACATAAGAAAGAACACTATTTATATACAATTTATAACATATTTTTACTTTACGAACTTATAAGTTAATAAATACACAGTTTGTGGATTGAATTCGATCATTTACCAAATTCCATAGTGGACAGGACTCGGAAGGAGGATATAAATCTCTTCACCATCTAAAGCGATATCTATTAAACCCTGTGAGTATCTGTTCCTTTATACATTTTGTAACATGGATGGATTATCAGCAATGCTAATTGGACATTCCTTTGTTAGGCGCTTTAAGAATTATGTTCGCACAACTGAAGACAAACGCGTTAAATGGAATCTTGGGCTAGAACGCATTCATATTAGATATGACGGTTTGGGCGGTAGAAAAGTAGGGACAATATTGAATGAAACATTGGAAAATAAATTAAAAAATCCGCCAAACATAGTCATCTTGCAAATTGGAGGAAATGATATCTCAAACGGAAAAAGACCCGAAACAGTAGCCTCCGATATAGAAAATCTAGTCATGAAATTACACCAAGAATATCACGTCGAATATATTTTAGTATCTGAACTTATACAAAGAAAATCAGCTCCTTTGAAATACAATGAAAATGTCATGCTATGCAATCGTATTCTGACAGCATTATTAGAGCACATTCCATTCGCAAAGCTGTGGCACCACAGAGGTATTAGGAATAGCCAATTTAACCTCTACATTGAAGACGGTGTCCATTACAATGATCGCGGAAATTACAAACTCTATCAAAGCTACAAGCAAGCATGCATCTTCGGTGAAAGCCAACTTAATTAATATACAAAACATAAGCATTGCTGGTAAGACCCATTATTGTATTTTTCTACTCGTAAGCATGGGGTAGTGGTATAAAGATTTAATTGAAAAACAATTATTGTATTAGAAAGATATCTTTATATATATCATCACGCAAACAGGGCAAAGGTAATGCAGCACTCAATATATATTTCTCGAGCTGCCGAAAGCTGGGTAACCATTCCTTGTCTTAATACAGTAGCCATTTGAATTATATTCATTGTTTGTGCATCGCTCAGAATCAGCTTCTGAGCATTTAATTGTGAGATTTAATCACAAGGCTCACTTGTCCCTTGGATTGAAATCATATCCAAACTACGGACAACAACTATTACCTTTTTAATGGTCTCAAGGATTGAAATAAGTATCCTTAATTTAAGACTTTAGTGCCCTCTTAAATAGTATTACGTTCTATTTGTTTGAGGGTTGAAATCATTATCCTCATACTTTATCTCACGGATTGAAATTAGTATCTGTCGAGACAAAAATGGCGTTTATATATTTGTTCGAGGATTGAAATTATTATCCTCATACTTTATCTCACAGATTGAAATTAGTATCTGTCGAGACAAAATGGCGTTTATTTGTTTGTTCGAGGATTGAAATTATTATCCTCATACTACATCTCACTGATTGAAATTAGTATCTGTTGAGACAAAAAATGGCATTTAAATTGTTTGATCGAGGATTGAAATTATTATCCTCATACTTCATCTCAAGAATTGAAATTCGTATCTGTTGAGACAAAAAATGGCATTTAAATCGTTTGATTCGAGGGTTGAAATTATTATCCTCATACTTCATCTCACGGATTGAAATTATTATCTGTTGAGACAAAATATGGCTTTTAATTTGTTTGTCTTTGTTTGTCTTGCTTTATTGAAATTGTAAAATATCGCTGTTACGTAATCGTATAAATAAATCAACGAATATCTAATCATATGTCCTTAACTTTCTTTATTTTCCCACCGCGTCTCTCGTTTTATTTGCAGATCATGCCTAAGAGACAACTAAGACCCAGGGGATCGCCTTCAAGGGCACCCGGAAGAAAACCTTCAACAAAGAAGCAGAAGTTGAACGAGGAGTTGGTGGTGGA